CTCCTCCTCCTCCTCCTCCTCCTCCTCCTCCTCCTCCTTTCAGCACAATTTCTGATCTTTTGATCTGGGAGATCTCTTGGAAGGATTGTGAGCCAGAGAGGTGAAGCAACATTTGTCTATATTTGGGAAAGAGTAACGGCATCATAAGGAGAGAAGAACTTAAAGTGCAAATGCTGCACACTCCTTCTGGTAGTAGGAAAAAGGGTGATGGTGTGGAGAAGGAGGTTAGGTTCCTTTCAGAACGGACAGGAAATCACATGCAAGCAGTGTGTGTGACCTTGATGTAATGCAAGAGGCTTCACTCCACTTGCTGAGAAACCATGGTCGGTTTAATCACAATTAGCTGAGTTTGCATTACATGTTAAGCATGTTAAACATACCAAGGGTCACATGCAATAGCTGGGTTTGCACAGCACCCCAAATAAACCACATTAGGCTGCACTGTGATGTGTGGGTGGTCAGCAGACTGGCATAAATAGTTGCCCTCCAGGGTGATCAGCATCCAGGTTTCCTATACAGAATGGCTCTCTGAGCAACCAGTATTGTTGCCGTGAGAACAAACCCAGCTGCTGTTTAGAAAAAGCATGTGGTATAGCCCTCTGGGGTCTGTACAGCCTCACTGGGTATTTGAAATTTGAATGCTTCTATTCAAAAGCTCTGGTGTATTTGGGCTGAGAAAGGGACACTAAATCCATGTCTCACTTGCATATAGAAATTGATCATAATATTTAGCTTTTTTTCTTTTAATAATCTTGTTTTGGGCAGGGGATGTATGCGCTGTGAAATATACATTCCCTTGCTTGTATTTTTAAAGGGTGGTTACAGCTTTGAGAGGACTGTAGCATGTTTTTTTTCCAAACAACTGAATGGGCTTGGATTCTTTAAGTTGCGACTCCCTGTATTAGCCAAATATTTAAATCTAAAATTAATCAAGGGAGTTGGGGTGCCTTACCACAGCTTTCCAAATGCAAGATTCATTTGCTTCTCTGCTAGCTTGGTCTGTCCAGATAGGAAATAAGTGATAATCTAGTCCTGCCCTGTTTTTGCAGAGTAGAAAGGAAGAATGTTCTCACTGCGGTGGTTGACCAGGGAGTGCAAGGAGAAACTAATCTGGCCAAGGAAGAAATGGCTGAGCTTGTTTCAGCCTCCCTGCCAGAAAGATCACTGGCCTCCAAGCTGCCTTTGGCTCTGTCGATCAGCAAAAACAACAGTGCCGCAGTTGTCCAAGCAGGAACTCCAGCCGGGGATGACCAGACCAGCCAGAACTGCATTTAAATGCTTGGTTATGTCTCACCTCTTTGTTATGGATGGAGAGGACTAGTTCCTGGTCCCCACCCACGCAAAGCTCCTTTTACTACTCCTCTTTCCTTGTACGCTTTGGTCTTGTCAGTCTGTACATCTGATGGTGAGACCTGTTGTTGTGTGTTTTTTTTAGTTAGAGCAAAATATTTGCATGATTTCTCTGCAAAATGCGTGGAATCCAGGAAGCTGATATAGACTGAGCCAAGTTCTTGGACCATCTAGCTCAGTATCACCTACGCCAGTGTTTTTCAAACTTGGCAACTTGAAGATGTGTGGACTTCAACATGCTGGCTGGGGAATCCTGGGAGTTGAAGTCCATACATCTTCAGGTTGCCAAGTTTGAAAAACACTGACCTATACAGATAGGGAGCTTTTTTTCTCAGCCCTATCTGGGTATGCTAAGTATGGGAACTAGCAATTTTTGGCATGCAAAACCTGTGACCAGCCACTGAACCAAAGTTCTCCACTAATACAGTAACTCAATGGGCAAGGAATGAATACTGCCCATTGCAGATTCCAAAGAGTTTGATCTTGTCCCGGGGGTGTTTGGGGTGTGTGGAATGTTGTTTTTGCAGGCCTAAACTGGATAGCTGGTAGCCCTTAATGCCTTTGTAGCATAAGAGAGATGTCTGAAGGAAGGAGGAATGTGGGCTGGGTCATGGGCTAAAAATAGATGGGAACTGAAAGGAAAGCATGATTAAAGAGGGGAAGAGTTAAAGAGGATAAAGAGGTGATAAGGGGAATGGGCAAAGGGAACAGGTAAAACCAGGGATAAAAGCACAAAAGTGTGATTGGACATGGGTGACCCAGTGTGCTTCCCCACAAGAACTGTGCACCAGTTCAAAAACTGTTGTGGGTCTCTGTGATTGTACAACAGTAGCTATCTGAGAGCTGAGATGATTTCTTTCTGTTTTAGCTGCAAAGTATACTTGAAACTGCAGCAAAGCTAGTTTTGTTTTGAGGGTATGTTTAAAGTGCTGCAGCTCTGTGGGGCTCATTGGCAGTATATCTCCCCACGTATCAGAATTGCCTCACCAGGCCTTGTGCTATCAGATCCTGTAAAAAGAATGGTGGCTTGGTGACTTTTCATCTCTCACTCGTAGGAACTGCTGGGATTTCACTGAATGTGCCTTCATGCAGACACTGCATACGTTGTCTTGAGCTCCTGAAGGAAAGGCAGGATGTAAATCTAATAAATAAACATGCAAAATCCTATAAGAAATGTCAGAGTTATGTACAAACTTTATGTACACGTGTTGGTACTTTTATGTACAAATTTTTAAAACAAGCAAAAAAACACTGACATCCAAACATTTTTTGTGGGAGGGGGAGCCCTCATATAGAAATTAATCATCCATCATCTCAAACTTTAAAATTACTTACTTGGGAGAGTGCAAACATTACACTGCTCCCAAGATTCTCTTTGCTGGGATCAGCTGAGAAGGAAATTAGCATTTTGGAGTTGGTATGTATACCAAAATGAAACTCATGGTCATTTTGTTTGATATCTCTTCTGTGGCATGATCTAGAGGAGTGAGGGGGCTGAATTCTAGAGTCTACAGTTTCTCTTCTTGATATCATTTGTGCTAAGGTGAATGTGATCTCCCTTGACTGGAAGGGGTACAAGAAAGGACCTTCTCCTACAGGATGTGTGAATTCAGCATTCAGGCATTAAAGGCTGAATTATTTGTATAATTCCTAGAGAATTTTACATATTTGTTTATTTGTCAAATTTATATTCTGATTTTTCTCTATTCCCTTCCAAGTAGTATTCACAGCACGTGCGTAGTATATCCAGTTATAAATCAATGTAAGACCTGTTTTAGTTCCTCAATGGAAGATTAATTTGTAGTTCTAAGCAGCCAAGAGGGACTTGGCACTGAAAACAGCTTGCCAACTGACCTGTTTTGGCTGGCATGGCAGCAGAGCAGGGTTTAGCAGAGGAAAGTGGATCTTCCTTGGTCCTGAGATAGTTCCCCCCCTTGAAAGTTCTGTTGAACATTTAAGTTTCCCTAGTTGTGACTCAGACATAAAGGCTTGGGAAGGGTTGGTCTTCTGTAACACTGTACACATTGTACTGAGTGAAATATCTGATTAGAAAACATTACCCTGGCCCTTGAGACTATTTTAAGTTGGGGGGGCCTTTCATTTGAGGAGGAGTTGCTTGGTAGACCAGCGGTTGCACAGTTTGGGAAAAGAGGTACAGGGAGGTCCCATAGGCCACTTTGAGAAGGAGCTGGAGGTGAATGTCAGATGGCAACTGGCAATAATGGTCCACTCACTTTGGAATTTGATGCTTCTGCTCTGGTTCCAGTTGCTGGGATGAGTGTCTCCAGGTGGGCTAAGGTTGAGGTATGGACGTCATCTGGACCTTTTTTATGCTGATGGTTTCAAATGTCAGGGTTTCAGGCAGTTGTGAGACTTTTGCTGAGTTTCTTGGAAAATAAAAAAATTGAGGGGAATAAAGGGGAAGAGTTGAGTGATAGGGTGACAGGAGAACTGAACCCTGTTGTATTTTAGTCACTTAATTCAGTTACACAGCATTTCATTGGATTGCACACATCCATGAAGAATAATTTCTCCACTTTCCTTCTAAAACCAAGGTTCTAGCCCTCTGGGGTGTTAGGAAATGTTTAACAAGTGAGACCAATGTCCAGCAGCAAAGGGAACCTTTCTTAGTCTTCCACAGTTCTTCTGATAGGCACCTATCCTATATTCTTACTTACAGCTCACTAAGTTCTTTGAACACTATTTCCCTTTTACAAGTAGTCCTCATTTAGCAACCACAATTGGGACCAACAACTGGGTTGTTAAGCGAAGCAGTCACTAAGTAAAACTGTGACTCTGCTTATGATCTTCCTTCAGCTTTCCTTTGTTTACAGATCTGCGAAGGTTGTAAATGCAGGCATTGGTCACAAAGTTACTTTTTTGTCACTGTTGTAACTGTAAATGGTCACTAAACGAGGACTACCTGTACTTTTGGAATAGCAGTGACCTGTTTTGAAGCTAGCATATCTGTACATAAACAATCCCTTTTAAATCGTGGCCACAAATTTTTTTTTTTAAAGAATCACTGAAGTACATTGGTTAAAATTGTTGATTCTTGAGCAGTTCATATTATTATTGGCTTACATTTTCTTGTGACATGAACTTGCAGCATTTTAAATGTAGAATTGATTGTGTATATGTGTGAATTTTGGTTGCAGCTCCATATGTCCTATATATGCTCTTCTGAGTTAAGTGC